GACCTGAGGTTCCTGTGCAGAGAAGCTCCCAGACCAAAGGAAGACTGATGACATGGACTTTCCTCCAGAGCCGATGGAGAAAGCGTTCCCCTAGAGCTGGTGCCCTGAATTTGGACTTGTAGCCTACTGGACTATAAGAGAATAAAGTTCTCTTTGTTAAAATCATCCACTTGTGGTACTTCTGTTAGAGCAGCACTAGATGACTGAGACACCCTCAATGAGATGGATTGACACAGTGGCTGCAACAATGGGGTCAAACATAGCAATGATATGAGGATGGCACAGGCAGTGTTTCATTCTGTTGTACATGGGGTCGCTATGGGTCAGAGCTGACTGGATGGCACCTAACAACAACAACAAGGGTTATAGATCTTTCTTGCTGTTGGTATCTCCATGGTACCTCAGAATTCTCTTTTTATCCTTTCAATTACCTAGTTAACAGCTTTATACCTAATAACCATTCTTTGTATTAAATTCTCTTCATCCAAATAACTGTGTAGTTTCTGTCTCATTGGCTGGACCCTGACTGATGCAGAAATTGGTACTAGGAGTGATTCCAGGAAATAGACCCCTGAAGATGGGATTTAGGAATTGATTTGGTTGTGTCATTGAGCTTGAATGTGCTGAGCTCCTTGTCTATGAGAAATGTGATGCTATTAATCCATGGCAAACTGTGGCCTCATGATTAATCAAATTATTACCTGTGGTTACTTGTGATGAAGTGCCAACTGAAGTAAGTGCCTAGGGGGCCCAAGTGGCCATTGCACTTGACTGTTAGGGCAGTGATGGTAACTACAGAGACTGTGGTGTGGGACAGATTCTTCTGAATGCATCAGAGCCCTTGCAGAAAGAAAATGACAAGCTCAGGTCTTTAAATTCTCAGCTTAAGTCATGGTCAGAAAACCCTAGAGTTTTCGACATAGCCGTAAAAGAATTTCTTATTTCTTACCTAGCTGATTTGCTATAAATAAACACAAAATTATGCATGTTTCAGAATTACATCAGTCAAATTCATAGTCTTACTAAGCTTTCATATGATTGGGAAAGAGCAGGACCCTGCAACCTATAATGGGGACATCTGGTTGGATGTCAGACAAAGCTAAAAATCTTAGACTCCCATGTCACGCTGAGCTTCCCTTGCCAGTGGAAACAGGGCCGAATGAAGATATTTTCAAGCCTGGGCAGAGGGGTTCGGTAGCGCCCTTTATATAATAGCATCAGAAAAAAGTCTCCTTATTCATTTGTTGGTGTTGTTAGCTGCCATCGGGTCGATTCGAACTTACAGCGACCCCAGAGTGCACAGTAGAACTGCTCCACAGAGTTTTCGAGGCTGTGACCTTTTCGCCGGACCTCATTTCCAAGGTGCCTCTGGGTGGGTTTGAACCATCAACCTTTTGGTTAGTAGTCCAGCACTTAACCATTTGCACCACCCAGGGACTCTGCTTGTTTATTTCAAATAACAAATTGACAAATTGAGGAAAAGAATGTAATAAAAATATACGTGAACTCTTGTCAATGAGTGTTTCCTGATAGCTTCCACCACCTGACTGGCGCTGGGTCCAGTGATGCACATGCTTCTGTCCAAGTTGCTTTCAGGGTCCCTCACAGGCTTCCACTTGGGATGCACACCTTTTAAGTTATCTGGAGCCATTCTGGCACAGTGGTGAACTTTTCCTGAAAGATTAAAGCAGTAATTAGTTTCTTAAATACAAGCGTATTTTTTCATTGGGATTTCTTGTGCACCCTGCTTATGCCACTGTGTCCCTGGAGTGCATAGTTTGGAAACAGCTATATAAACTTATGTTAACTACTGATATTTAGTTTGTTTTTATAATATTTTAGTAAAATTATTTTTTGACACATATCAAATTTGGCACCCCATTAAGCCTAACACCCCGGATGGCCACTGGTATAGGCCGCCCCTTAATCCAGCACTGAATGGAAGCAGTTTACTCGGTTGTGTCTGAGGAGGCTAGCCTTCCCTTACTTGAAAACCCTGTAATAACCTCCTCTGGGGAAGTTGCATGGCAAGAAGATGTCATTCTCCCCAATACCAAACCCAAACACCCTTTGTTGCTGCTAGACGCATAACTAGGATCAAACCTCAGTATGATCGAAGGAGGCAAGTACAAAATCTGACTCAGAAGGAAATAATGTATACACCAAAATAACTGCAAGATTTTGCCAACATATATTGACAGAACTCTGAGGAATATGTGTGGGAGTGAATTCTAAGAGTTTTAGACCTAGGAGGGTGGCATATAAAACTGGACTGAGCCACATCCATTGATGTGGGTGCACTTGAGTGACTTAATTAGAGTCTCTCATCCAGTTTCCAGACCTATGCCAGTTAACAGACCCAGAGCCCCCTAATTGAAGGAGAGGCCAGTTCCCCTTAAGGAAGGATCTGCAACACAGCCACAATATAAAGGTAAATCTTCCTTCAAACTTTCCCTGTAGGGACCTGTGTCCATTTATTAGTGTATCTGTGCAGTGGGGAAAAGGAAATACACAGATCTTTGGAGGATTACTAGACATCAGCTCTGAATTGATGCTAATTCCCAAAATGCCACTATGGTCCACCAGCCGAAGTAGAGGATGTTGGTGGCCTCTCTGAACACACCCTGGGGTTATTTCCCCAGTTCTTGAATTTATAGTTGGAATAGACATACTTAGCAACTAACATGAGTCAGTTGACTCTGACCATAGAATAAGGGCCATTATGGTAGGAAGGACTAAGTGGATGCCTCTAGAGCTCCCTCTGTCCAGGAGAATATAAACCAGAAGTAAACCACATCCCTTGGAGAGATTAATACCACTATCATAGCCTTGAAAGATGCTAAGGTGATGCTACCTATCGCTTCCCTATTTAACCTGCCTGTGGCCTGTAAATAAGGTGACTGGATATTGGAGAATTACTATGAATTATTGTAAACTTAATCAAGTAGTAACTTCAACTATAGCTGCTATTCCAGATGTAGTATCTTTGCAAGAGTAAACCAGCACAGCTCCTGGCACTTGATATGCGGCTGTTGACCTGGCAAATGATTTGTTTCTGCATACCCATTTGTAAGAAACACCAGAAGCAGTTTGCTTCTACCTAGCAGGGCCCAAAATATACCTTCACAGTCTTGCCTTAGGGATACATCAACTCTTTGGCTCTCTGTCTTAATATAATCTGCAGAAATCTTGATCATCTTGACATTGAACATTACACAATATGACTACATTGATGACATTACGCTGATTAGGTCAGACAAGCAAGAAGTAACAAATACTTTAGATGCCTTACAAAGGCATATGCAAAATTAGTGGGAGATAAACACCGCAAAAATTCAGGGGCCTGCTACTTCAGAGAAGTTTCTGGGGGGTCCAAAGTTCTGGAACCCATAGAAATATACCCTCCAAGGTGAAAGACATGTGTCTGCACCTTGCACAACCTATCACCACCAAAAAAAAAAAAAAGAAGTACAATGCTTCATGGGTCTTTTTGGTTTTTGGGTTTTGGAAACAAAATATACAACATTGGAGGGTTCTATTTTGATCATCTACCAAGTAACCTATAAAGCTACCAATTTTGAGTGGGAATAAAAGAAGAAAAGGCTCTGCAGTAAATCCAGGGGGCAGTACAAATTAGTCTTCACTTGGACCTTATGAACCAGCAAATCCAATGATACTCAAAGTGTTTGCGTCAAATAAGGATGTTGTATAGAGCTGTGAGCAAGCACCAGTAGGTGAATCACAACACAGACCTCTAGGATTTTGGAATAAATTCACGCCCTCTTTTGCAGACAGTTATTCTCTTTTTGAAAAACAGCTCCCAGCTTGCTTCTGTACCATGGTAGCCTAACCATGGGCCATTAAGTGACCATGTGACCGGAGCTTCCTATCATGAGATAGATGTTATCTGACCCACCAAGTCATGAGGTTGGGCATGCTCAGCAGCAGTCTGTCTTCAAGTGGAGGTGGTATTTAGAAAATCAAGCTCAAACTGGTCTTGAAAGCATGAGTAAGTTGCATGAACAGGTAGCTCATTTTCCTTTACCTCAGCTCCTGCTGCATTGCATCCTCTCCCTCAGTCAGTACCTTGGGTCTCATGAGGAATTTCTTATTTCTCATGAAGAGGAAAAAACTATGGCCAGGCTTACAGATAGTTCTACATAACATGCCAGCACCATAAGAAAGGGGATAGCTGAAGCATTACAGATCCACTCTCGGGTGGCCCTGAAGGACAGTGGTGTATGCCCAGTAAGATTCAATCCCTTCAGAAATGAAGGTCCGGATCACCCTACCAGGTAAGAAACTCTAAATAGCTGAGGTCCTGGCTGAGGGCAAAGGAAATATGAAATGAAGAGTGGAAAAATAAAGTTATTAACTATGGCTTTGTGACAAGTTATAGAAATGAGAACTACTGTAGCAATGCATATTTTCTTATTTGTTATATGTGTTTCATAATAATAGATTATATATATAATTGTGTGTGTATATGTATATACATACACACACACACACACATATGTGGTAGCACAACAGTTAAGTGCTCAGCTGCTAACTGAACGGTTGGTGATTGTAATCTACCCAATGGCTCCACAGGAGAAAGACCTGACGATCTGCTTTCATAAAGATTTCAGTCAAGAAAACCCTATGGGGAAATTCTGTTCTGTCACGTGGGGTTGCTATGAGTCGGAATCAACCCTAGCAACAATAATAATTATAAAAATTTATGTATATGTATAATTCTTTCTTCTTCCCTTATTTTTTATACAAGTTTCGTTTGAGGTTAACTTTGTAACTTAGTTTTCAAATAATAGAATTTTCAGATAGGACTGTGACTTATTTTAGAGAGTTATTAACATAGCATGGAGATAGATACAATGACTATTGGGACATTGTATTTCCTTGTTTTGGGGAGTAGATGAGAATGTATTTGTGCAAAAGATAGTTGCAACTTGTTAGGTGGAAGAATAAAGTTATTTCATTGTATGGAAGTTCAAAAATGTGGAGACAAGTCAACTTCCGGCAAAATGGCGCTCTAGGCAGAAGCACCACGCTGTCCCTCCACAGCAAATATCCAAAAAACTAAGCCGAACAGAGAAAACAACAATCCTGAAACCCTAAAACATCAAATGAAGAGATAAAGAACTCAGCCAAGCACCAAATGGAGTGAGAAAACTGACAGAGAATGGAGAGCGA